AATATGTGCGAAGTTGTTAAAGTGTGTGGGGGGGGGGGGGGGTTGTCTTTTTTACAGTGCCATTATACTAACTCAATTCTGTACCCGCTCGAAGTCACCCGCTTTCAAACGCTCCTTTGTGTGTGTGTGTGTGTGTGTGTGTGTGTGTGTGTGTGTGTGTGTGTGTGTGTGCGTGCGCGCGCGCTGGTTTCGAATTACAAAACCAAAAGTTTCTATTTACAACGTGTTTTGCAGCGTTGAGTATTGTAGCCAATCACAGGCATCTCTGTTGAAAGCAATGGCCAATCAGAGGTGTTTACTGTAGGTTAGTCAGAATCCGCTCTGATCTCAAGTTTACGTAGTTCTACACACTCACAGATCTTCCTATTATAGCAAGACAAAAAGAAAGCATACACGATGCAAATAAGTGCAAATATTATGAATATAATATTCATTGTGTAGTTGGTTATTGATTATATCAGGAGTTTTCGCGTAAGCTCAGACAGTTGCGCCATAATGGAAGCGCCCTTTGCTCGGTGTCTCTACATACTTCATTCAGTTTGAAGAAAAGTTTAAGAGGACCAAACCTTCCACGTATACTCTTTCAGGAATGAGAAATGCGAGTGTAAAAAAGTATGCAAGTGAATCCGCCAAATTGATCCGCGATTGACTGTGATATGGAGATATGGACGGAACTAACTATGTGACAAGCTAGTGTCAAACCAGAGCTGTTCTTTAAGTGATGCAGAGTAAATTCAGAGGAACAAAATTACAGCAGCAACAAGTCTGTGTTGCCTTTAGCAGCTCTACAGGTAAAGATAACTTAAAGCTCTCCTTTTGATATGTTCTTTTTTAGGCAATGTTTGAAAAATTTTGTTTTTAAATTCAATTTTTAAAAAATGACAAAATATGTAATGCATTATTTAATTATTATTATACCATGAATAATTAACTTAATTTGTAGTTAACTAGTTAAATATTTAAATAATTAACCCTACTAGCCTGTTGGTGTCTGGGCTTATTTATTTATCCTTAAATTACATTCTTGTGGCTTCCTGCACTTGCTATACTTCATAGTCATTTTATAAAAAATCCAAAAGCAAGTCGTGAAAAAACCTAGGGAGTTGAAATGGCAACCGAGCTAATGAGTGATCCTCTGCTGCCATCTACTGGATATAATGGTAATTTCATGTCATTTTCATCTCAAGTCTTTGTTTTCCACCAGGAGACCATTTTTTTCCTGTCTTCTTCATGAATGAAAGTGAACATTTAAAGTGATTTTGGCAGAGTTAAAAAAAAAAAATAGTAAAGGCCGTTAAAAAAATGTAGGGTTCTATTTATTTTTTGGTGCTCGTCTTTGTCACCTTTTTCACCCATGATGAGTTTGCATCCCTGAATAATAATTCATAAATATATAAAAAATTAAATTTATTCATTCATTTATGCATGCATCGTGATTGTTTACTGTATTCCATATAGTAAAATAAATATGTATCATATTATTATTATGCTTATTGTTTATTGCTTTTAAATATAAACTTACAAATTTTTTCTTGCTCTCTTTTCTCTCATGTCTGTTCATAAGAGCCACGAATCACTCATCATGGTTAACTGTAAGAGTTCTGCAGCTGGCTGATAGTTTCGCTAGATTTAAATATAAGTTGATGTATCACTCAGACTTTGCAGTTCTTAATCACACTTTCCTGGCACTTTTATGGCCCCAGATACTACAGTTCCATTTGATGAATCACTTTTCAGCAGAATTCAGTGGTTGTCAGTGGCAGTGCATTCTGGTAGGTGTGATTTTCTGTGTGAATGCAGATGATTGTTTAGCGTAAAACCCAGTGTTTGTTTACAAATCTCACTGGTTTTCATTTCCAAAGCCGTTTTGTTTCGGGTTAAACTGGTTTTAATAGTGCTGACTAGCAGTTTGCAGTAGGCGGGAATCCCACTTGATATTCTGGTCCAATTGTTTTCATTCCAGGTCTGTGTGGATCTGGTGCTGCCACTGGGTGGATTAAAGTTTATTTATGTAGAAAGCTGGGACTGTTTTGAGATTTCATGGACAAATAAGAATCGTCCGGATGGTGGTGTGTGTTTGTGTGTGTGAACAGATGGCACAGGTGATGTCAAAGACTCTTTGCAGGTGGTGCTAGGGAGGGGCTACAGACAGACTGACAGATGGAAGACAAAAAACAGGGAATTGACACAAACACACTCACTATCAAACAGAAAGGTCAAAGAAGGACTAGAACATAGGAAATGTAAACCAAAGGTTAAAACACCATTGTAATTTGAGTAATCTACTTGTACCATTGCATTTATCTCTCAACATGATATCCGTGATTAAATGTAGACTGCTTATGTGCTGAGTGAGCTGTACGCATGTGTGTTGTGTGTGTTAGATGAGCATAAGGAGCTTGGGTGCCATATTTTCCTGATGAGTTTGGACTGGTTCCCTCGTGCTGAACAGAAGGAGCAGTGTATGTCAGTACTTACAGGAGACTTGGTCTCTTTTCTCGTCTCATCTCTTCTTTCCACTCTTTTTCATGTCAATTGTGTTTAATTAATGTCCTCCCAAAGGTCTGTGTTTGAGATGTGTATGCAGGCGTGTGTTTGTGCTCCTTTGTTCTCGTGGATGTCTGTGTGCAGCTGCCACCCCGGCGTGAGTGCACTGATCTGGGTTAATAATAGGCAAAGCCTGCTGTCTTCGGGTCTTGTATCCCTGTCATACTGTACACACACACACACAGTTTCTACTTTGTGTCCTAGAGATTATATCTTGTGTCACTCTGTTTCTATCAAGGGATGATAGTTAGTTTTAATTAGGGATGCACCGATACCGATACTGGTATTGGTATCGGGCCGATACTGGTCTCCTGTACTCGTTCTCATTCTCGTTAAAATGCCCCGATACCAAACGCCGATACCACACAGCATATGTTAAGCGCCATATTCAAACAAAGAAACACCAACAACAGGCAGCAGAAAGGAGTTAAGGATGTCTACTACGAAGTATATGTATGCAATGAATATAATGTTAAACATTCAGTATTAACGCCTGGATAGCTGATGTGCGCGAGCTGATAAACAAATCACGCTGAGTGGATTGAGCGTGTGGCGGCGCAGATGCGCGAGGTTGTCGAGTGAATATATCTTTCTCACAGACATCACTGGAAAGTTTGTAGTTCGGTCGGATATGTCAAAAACAAGTAAGTAAAACAATGCACAAGTTACTTAACGGTAGGGGGAGAGAGAGAGCGAGAGAAAGATAGAGAGAGAGAGATAGAGCGCAATTCTGTTGTGTGATCTTTCATGTTCAATCACTTAGCACACGCATCATTTGGATTAAAACTAAATCGTAAAAATAAGACCATTTATACGGGCATTCACTATAAACATCATCTATTTTCAACCTTAGGCATACATGACTTTCTGGCGAAAGTGAATCTAGCAGCTTGTGTGAAATGTGCTAGGCTGCACTATTCTGCTGCACCAGTACAAATATGTGCACGCGTTGTGCGTGTTTTGCTTGCTTGAGTGTTTGTGCATTATATGAGTGGCTTTGTAATATAAATCGCAGCACGTTTCAGATGAAAAAACGTGACTTCTCTTTCTGAAAATATCACAGTTAGGAGTGGTTCCCTGCATTATTACAGCAAAGCACGTGATTACAGTACTGAGCCGCTGCAATGGAGCAGCTCTAATGCTATTAAATTAAAGCTGATGTACCACAGAGCAAAAACAAATTAACAGTGAAAGTAACAAAAACTTGTAAAATACATTTTAATGGGCATAATTAAGTATGAAAATAACCGAAGGATATACAGTCAAACCAAAAATTATTCAGAGAACAGATATCATTTTTTATATTTTTTTACTAGTGGGTGCAGGAAACTATAGTTTATTTATGTAAGTGAGGACAGCAAAATAAAGTAAACTGTGACCAATCATACCCAAAAATTCTTCATACAGTGGGCTACCAGTAAAATTGATACAAATTTGGGTCTAAAAATTATTCAGACCGAGTCTGGGAAAAACATTGAAGTTGAGGTTTGCATGAAGCTGGATGACAGCATGCCCAGGAGACTACAGGCTATCATTAAGGCTAAGGGTTGCCCGACTAAGTATTGATAGTTGTGTAAATACTGTCATACTAACAGCTGTCTGAATAATTTTTGGTTGATTGTAATCTATTACATACCTTTCTATCAAAATGATCTAACATTATCAAGATTAATTTGTTCTGACACAGTTTAACTCTGAGTTCTTGTCATATTTTATTACCATTTTCTAAACTATAGTGAATAAACTGTGATAATGTGAGAAATGTTGAAGGTGTCTGAATACATTTTGGTTTGACTGTATCTATTTGATAAATGAAGTTAACCAACTAACATTATACATACCCTTTTGGTTTCTGTTCCCAATATTAAAAAAATTTACAAATGCAATAAAAAGATCAGTATCGGTACTCGGTATCGGCAAGTAACAAAAATAAAAGTATCGGTATCGGGCGAGAACTGAAAAAAGTGGTATCGGTTTATCCCTAGTTTTAACGTTTGGAATTCACCAAAGTAACAATCACATTTGTCAATGATATGATAATAAGTCTGTTTTCTGTACTACACCTTATAGCATATATCCTCATTTAATGTTCTGCCTTCAACCGTCTGTTTGTGTCCGTTTCCCGCTTTCCGTTGTGGGTACGGAAACTTCAACATGTAACATATTCCAGGTCTGTAGTCTTTAGCCAGTGGTAAATCACTGTGTCAAATTAATAACACAACTCCTCTCATCTCTGAGGGAAAAAGAGAGAGTGGAAGGGAAAAAACACAGATCTGGGCCCAAAGCTGCTCATTAAACACAATCAGAGAACTCTTCTAAAACCAATGGAAACCTGGTTTTGTGTCATCTTTCCGTACAATTACGGTGTCGGGAATATCATTTTGAGGTCCTGGCGCAGGCAGACAGCGGCGTTGTGGTCAGTCCAGTTTGCATTGCTGTGGTGTTTGGCAGCGGAGATGCAAAGATTCTTGGGAATTATTGTGACAAGGGTACATACACTCTCTGACCAGGAAACTCCAGTTCAGACTTGTTTGTTCTCTGGCATGGCATTTTCATCTTATTATATGTTTATTTTGGGTGGTGGGAAAAATCTGTGTTTTTTTTTCTCTCTCTCTCTCTCTCTCGGTTTTATTTATTTATTTATTTTATTTTTCGTTTCTGTACTACTCTGGTTTACTCTTGTTACAGGGATAGTTTTTCCCCAAAACTCCATGTTATTTGTTTCGCTACCAACATTCTTTAAAATATCTTCTTGTTCCACTGAAGAAAAAAGAGGTAAAGAGAGTAAATGATGACAGCATTTTTATTTTGGGATGAACTATCCCTTTAAGATTAAGTTCAGTATTATTGTTTGCTCCTTTTTGTTCAATTGCTTGTGTCCTCATTTGTGAGTTGATTTGTTTAAATTGATTCAGAGTTCCTTTTTGAATCTGGTTATAGAACAAAAAGATTCGAGTGGAGGAGGGAGGCCAGAATAATTGTGCTAAGAATGTGGCTGTGTATGCACTTTGTGGTTTGATCTTGTCATTTTTGTTGTAAAAATGCACTGCTACTCAACTTTCGTTAGGAACATTTTATTTAATTCACCTGAGTAATCTACTGTTTTCATTTTCAAACTCACTTCAACTCCTTCTTCTAAATAAAAAATAAAAAAAATCCCTAATTGGAAAAATTCATGGGTCAGACAAAATAAAACAGAACAATTGATTTTTTTATGGCACCTGTATTGCTGTTTTGCCACATGGCTACACTGTACTGATTGTTAAAGCCAGTGACTAAACATGTTAAAGAGGTTGCTG